CAGGGACACCTTCCACCAGACCAGGCTGCTCAGAGCCCCGTCCAGCCTGGCCTTCAACACTTCCAGGGATGGGGCATCCACAGCTTCTCTGGGCAGCCTGTGCCAGTGCCTCACCACCCTCAGAGTGAAGAATTTCTTCCCTATATCTAATGTACATCTAATGTGTCATTCCAGACGTCGGCCCCTGGGATTTTTCCTGTGTGGGGCCAGCCTGGGTGCTAGACCTGCCCTCAGCGCTTCCCGGAGTCCCGTTGCAGCAGCAGGAGGAAGAGGAAGGTCCCCTGAGGAAGAGCTCTCGCCGCCCCCACGTCGCCGCTTCCCAAGAGCTGACATCTGCCCTCTCGCTTGCAGGAGAGTGGCGGGGGAAGATGGAGGAAGGCAAGGCGTATTCACCAGACGGTGAGCTGTCTGGGGCGCGGGACATCCAAGTGCACAGTGTGTCCTCCCGTAGGAGCAAACCCTAAAATTCTTGGGGCCAGAAGCGACCCGCTGGCTCGCCGAGGCCTGTCTTGAGTCGCTCTCGGCCAATTTAGGGTATGGGGGCTTTGGAGAAGTCGCTTCGCTGCTCTGTGCACGGGGTTAGAAGTAAAACTGGGAACTGCAGATCTCTTGGGGTCGGGGCTGGTGTGTTTGCTAGCTTACTCTGCTTTTCAGGAGCTTAGCTAGCTGCCGTGGGGCACCCCAGGGTTTAGGATCTGCTGGCACTCAGCCTCGCTCTTTAAAATTCCCAAAAGCCTCTTTGCCAGATGTTTGCCTGTCCTCTGCCCCTCTGAAAAGCTGTTTTAAGTGGCTTCTTTATGTATCTGCACCGGATCTACTTTGTTTTGGGTACCGCAGTGCAGACCACTAATAATCACAGCCTGGGTTTTTGAGGCTGTCGTGCTTTTCCTCGCAGGGGTGTTCGCTCACCTGGAAATGCTGGAGGCGCGGGCTCACGAGGCAGCCATCAAGCAAGAGGAAACGGAGCGGCAAGAAGAGAAGCTGGCCAGGCTGAAAGCGAGAGTGCGGGAGCTGAGACACCAGAGGGATGAGCTGCAGGCTAAAGTGGACCTGCAGCAAAACGGGGTGAGAAAGGGCTCGCTGCGGAGATCTGGCAGAGGGCTCCGCTGTGCTCGTGCTCTCAGAGGGTGGCTTTACTGAGGTGTTATTCACAGAGAGTCAACTATTCTTTTTTTTATTTTCCCTTTTTAAGTGACGTATAGTCATGGTGTCCCCTGTTTTCAGTACCGTGTAGTCCAGAACTGCTGGGTCTACTTGCTTGGAGGTCATGTGGCCGTTTCTGAACTCTTTTCTTGAATTTTTCTCCCCTTTTCTGCTTGAAATGCCACCTTGTTTTTCTCAGAGCCGGGTTATTATTTCTCTGTAGCCTGACTGTGTTCCCTGCAGATGACACGTTCGCGTCAGCGATTTCTGATCTCTCTCCTCTTCTGGCTTTTGTAGCAACTCGGGAAAGAAGGAGCCGTGTCGGATCCGGCACAGCCCAGTGCTCGGGCTGTTTTAGAGTGGAAGATAAAAAGCCTTAAGGCCATGCTGCAGGTCTTTTACCTCACAGGTAATATCGAGATTTGCGTGTGTTCTGCTAATGGTTGCGTTTCTGGGGTGCTAAATTTTGGAAAATGAGCCTGATGTGAAGCATAACTTCCCTGTTAACGTTGCTGCTGTTGTGCTGGGAGCCTTTAGAGTCTGAAAATGCTGGAAAAGCCGTAACCTTGTAATTCCCTGCCTTTCACAGGAGGCCTCTGGGATGTTCCAGGAACTGTTATTGGGGTGGTGACGCACTGCCTTCCTCCAGCCAGGGCAGCCTGTGCTCCCTGCTGTGCGGGAGCCAGGTCCGGGTTTGGAATTGACAGCGTAACTCAGTTATTGGGAATTTAAGCTACCGTTAGAGGTCCCGTATTAAAAAGTTGCTGTGTTTTATGTCCCTAAACTCTTGCAAGTCTTTAATCGTAGAATCACAGAATCACGGAATGGTTTGGGTGGGCAGGGACCTCCAAAGGCCACCCAGTCCCACCCCTGCCATGGGAAATCTTCACCCAGACCAGGGTG